TTGTTATTTTTTCTCTTGCTATTTTTGTTTAGGTTAGAAAGAATGGTGATTTTAAGATGGAGATACGGAGACAAGTCAGTGAATATGAAGCCAAACGGAAGCAGATACTAGAGAGTGGAGGGGACAAGTATGAGGTTAGGGCTGCTCTTATAAAGCTAAACAACGCTTTCGCTCAAAAGAAAGCAGCTATGAGAGAGAAACAAAAAAACAACAAAAGGATGAATGGAAAAGATGGGAATAAAAAAAGAGACGAACGAAAGTACGGCCAAAAAGAAATCGAAAGAAAGAGGCTCGAAGTTATGAAAAGGAAGCACTGAATTAAATTATGCGTCATTAAAAACATTTATTGATGAAGAAAAACAAAGCAGGATTCATAATATGTATCTGGATACAGTACTGTATTACACTGGCGTAGATAAACAGGCCGTAGCGAGAGATGAATTATATAGAAATATTTACGATATTGGAAAAAATATCATACACTATTTCAGGTCGTGTCATTATTAAAGATAAAGGTAAAGCTGTTTGTTTTACAGTAATAACAACAATGATAATAATAATTATTATTAATATCATAGACCTTTTGTCAATAAATAATGATAATACTAATAATAGTAGCTAATATCATTATTAGGTATCAAATAATAATAATAATAATTATTATTATTAGGTATCAATTATTAGGTATCAAATAATAATAATACAAATTATTATTATTATTTTAGTAAATGATAACAATAACAAACAATTATAATATATTATAATATATCACAGGTGTACGTTAATATGTCTTATCAGTAATTAATTAAATAAATCTATTATAGGATTTTTTTCTATTAAATTGTATTGTAAATTGCGTCAATCCATATGATTGCACTATTGCATAGACCATGGAGCTATAAAATTATATAGTACTGTAAAAATTGTATAGTCTCTACCGATTACCATTATGTTGCTATACGCCAGTGTACGCATCCCGTGGTCCGCGGACCACTTGTTGGTCCGCCGAATTGGTGCTCCTTCAAACGCTAAGGGTCCGTGGATGGTCCGCGAGAAATGTAAGTGGTCTGCCAAAGGTTGAGTGGTCCGCCCTCGTATTTGGCCTATAAATCCACAAAAACAGCATACTATTTTTAATTTGACTTGGGTTTCACACTCAGACGTGGGACGTGTACTATTGCAATATAATTTTTTGTCTATCGGTGTAACTTTTTGTTCCCAACTTCTTAAATCTTACGTGGGTCTAGTAATAACACCTTCGGTCGGTCTTGCGCGCATTCTTTGACGTTTCCGCCAGGGAGATGTTCACAGGCAACAGATGCCATAACGAGCGTAAAGCCAAATGTTAAGAAAATATTACTAGTGATATGTAGGCTCAAGGTAGCCAACTACTTTAGCCTTGTTTTTTTTTTCTATCTGTTGCCATCATTTGAAACTTTGCTTGTTTTTATGTGGCATATAGAGTATCTTTTATGTTATTACTGTAGATTTTTATACATGATATCTTTATACGATATTTTGAAGGCCTTGCGCTCTTTATTAGCGTAGGCGACAATATATATCTGATTATGATACACACATATATATATATATAATTATATATATATATAATTATATATATATATTATTTATATCCGCATATTCAATAAAACCAATTACAAATAACAATACGTTATGTGTATATTGAATAGTAGTAATTCATGGTCTTTATATATTATCTGCACAATGTACGGTACCAGAATATATTTTAAGTAGACTTGTAATATAATACCTGAATATTATGTTATACAGAACCAAATTGTATTATAAATTTGCGAATATCATCAGCTTAGTTTTTTTTTTAAATAATAACATGTTTTCATAATATTCTTCAAAACATTAATAAAATAATGGTTTTGATAAACGTAGTTATTGATTTTGTTTATTCGGTTTTTTTTTTAAATTATAAATTGATGATCATGCTGATGACCATCATGATGGTGGTGATGTTGGTAGTGGTTGTGGTGACCATGATGATATTGGTGGGTTTGGTGGTGTGGTGACGATGATCATGTTAATGACCATGGTGGTGATGGTGATTAAGAGGTTGGTGGTGGTCGTGTTTGTGATGTGATCGTGCTGATGACCATAATAATGGTGGTGATGTTGGTTGTGGTGACCATGATGATATTGGTGGTTGTGGTGGGCAATATTTTAATGCTATGGTACGTGACGTTACATGTGGTATATTCACGCCAGTGTACCCGTAGTAGACGATTCTGCTGTGCAGATAAACTGTATAGTCCATACTCGTTAGCTATAATAATAATAATAATAGTATAGTCTATACTCGTTAGCTATAATAATAATAGTACTAAACTAGTAATAATATATTGGCTTTCATATAATATAAATTAAACATTTCCTTTTTAAAGCGGCGCCATACCCTATATTGGTACCGGAAAATCCTTGCATAGTGGTAAGTATCCCTGACTGGCCGCATGGCACAAACTGGTGTACAGTAGGTTTCCATACCTTGGAAATGATGCTTGCTTTCCAATAGGATTGACACCAGGATTTTGCCTCACGAAACAACTTAGATTTATAGAACATCATTTTCATTATTCTACAAATGGCCCTGGATACCAGCTGAGCTTCAATAATAAACAAGCTGGAAGGTTCACCATGATCTACAAAATTGGTTTTGGAAAAACCCAAATATATAAACCATAGGCTTATGTCATATTCACTTTATAAAAACATGTCAGCATAGTGTGACAGGATGGTGTACGGTAAGAATGGCCCCGGAAAAAATGGCCCAGGAAAAATGGCCCCGGTAAAAATGGCCCCAAATGACAGGTAGGTAAAAATGGCCCCAATAATAAAATTCTGTATTAAAACTGATTTTTTAAAAATCATTATATGCATTTTTTTAAACTGAAATAATTTAGTTTTTAAAAGGAATCTAACATCAAATGAATTGCCATTTACATTTTACTTTTTGCAGAAATTACATATTCAATAAAAAAAATATTTAAGGGAAAAAAGCCATGAATAACATTTTTTTTTCCATTTAAATGTTAAAAAATAGCATACATAATCAATAAATCAACATAAATCATGCATTTATTAATAATAAAATAATTTATTTGTGGCCAATTTCAAGGAAGCGGAATCACAATTTTCCAGAAATTCAATCCGGGTATTGGTACCGGTAAACCCCACAAACAATGAGTTTATATGAACATCAAATTATTATTATTTTTTTTTTTTAGAAAAAGAGAGTTCTACAATCGAAATTAAAGGGTTCGGATGGGGTTCGCAGTGTATTTGGAGGATTGTGGTGTATTTGCAAGTATTTTTTCACAAAAATATAAACATTTTAACCAAAAAATAGGTTCTTATAAATATTTTATTTTCTTATTGATATACCAAGTGAGTCAATAACAATTGAATTGTTTGGTATTCTACAGTGTGTTTTAGGAGGTTTTTGGGATTTAGCAATACTATTTGATCCTACCATAATTACTTTACCCTCACAATTAAACGCCATTTTAATTCTTAGCATAATTGCCATATTTACATAACTATGTATGTAATATAGTATCTCAGTTTACATTATTTAGTATATTTTTAGGCACTTAAATTCACTTGGCGGGGGGTATAAACCAAGTATGCAATTAAATAATTTGCTTAAATAAATGTATTCCTAATTATTCAGTTTACTTTAAAAACGATATTTGATTAACAAATACTTCTTTAAAGTAACTCTAAGCAGAACATTTGGTGAAGTAAAGTAAGCCTCCCTTTTCCCATACATGAACTTGTCATTCAAACACACAATTGATCACATGCTTTAACTGTTTATAACATGTAAAGTTATTGCATTTGATACTTAACAAAAGTGAATTTTGTGGTTATCTATGAGTTGCATATTTTGGTAGTTGAAGTATTTTGGCCGTTGTTTTCTGATAATCTCTCAGTACATTATTTGCATCTGTTGTGTAACTGTATTTGTTATTGATTCAATTCTTGCTTATTACAGTAATTAAATATTTGAAGATTAAAAAAAATATAATTTATATTACTGAATTTTTTCATTGGGGCCATTTTTACCTACTTGTCATTTGGGGCCACTTTTACTGGGGCCATTTTTACCGGGACCATTTTTTCCGGGTCCATTTTTTCCTGGGCCATTTTTTTCCGGGGCCATTCTTTAACCTACATTCAAGATGTCAGCGTACAACATTGTCTGGAATTGCTTAAGTATGATTTATGTGAGCCTATGGGTTATGGAAGTTAATCCTACGTGATTATAAGATGATCCCAATTGTGTGACGGGAAGTAAAAGCTACAGCAAATTTTATAGAAGTCAAGTAGTCAGGACGAGAGAACCTTTGCTACAATTTTGGAAAAAGATGTAGTTCGTGCACAACAGATTTTAGACCTGCATGAACCAGGTATGAGTGACGGAATCTGTTCATCAAAATGCCAATTACCTTCATACATGACTGGGAGCAGTTGAACGTGTTCACCAATCAAGGATTGATTATAGAATTATTGTCGGTTTACAGACACAATGAAAGTTATTATTTTCACTTTTGATGAACGTGAATTTCTACACGAAGGCCACATAGCAGTTTACTCTGGGCGTCTAATATCCTTCAAGGATAATTGACTTGACTAGGCAATAAATCTTAAGCTTACTTGGTTTATTGTTTCGTGGATGGGTGGTTACCGAGATGTAAGGACATATGTCACATACCGCGGTTAGTCAGGCCTCATATGCTTTAACATCGTATCATCCACATGTTATAATATTATATCATGTGGCTATTCCTCAAAATCTGTTTGACAAACTGATCATTTGCTTTATTCAAAAATGCCCTCTGTGATGAGAAAAACATTTTGATACTCTCTCCGTGATTCGGAGTTACCGTACTAAACCTGATAAGTTTTTAAAAAATTATTTATTTATCTCATTTATTGATCGGATGATTTTCAGTAGAAAAATACAACACTGTATCACAAACTATATGTAGTGTGAATAACGATGAAAGGATTGTTTCTTTTTCAGATCAAACCGATTGAAACTCATCAATAGGCCTATAAACTATATGAGTGGTCAGCAACAGTATTCGTATATCACTGCACATGTTTTTACGAATAGTTATAATAGGCCCAATATATTTGAACTCTTTCACATACATACACGTTGTATATGCCTACACAATTGTCGAGACTAGACAAACATCCCCCAATATTTGACAAGTGGGGGATGGTCCATTGTATCATTCCCCCCAATATTTTGACTATGTATGGGATAAAATGGAGCTTTACACACTTCAAAAGACTGTCACAGAAATAACTTGCACTGTCTTATGCGCTTACAAAGATGAAAATTAGCATAATGTATTAATGTTGATAACAAAATTATTTTATCTGGTACCAATCTAAGCTCTTCTTTCCTTAGATGTTAGATGTGCTTGCAAAGAGTGCCACATTTCACACTGAAGGGTGTGTACGACATCAGTAATGTTGTAAAAAACAATAAAAATAACAATAATAATAATAATAATAATAATAATAATAATAATAATAATAATAATAATAATAATAATAATTATAATTATTATTATTATTGTGTTTGAAACTAAATATAAGCATTTTCATCATGGTTTTATTTATTACAAACATATTCTTTCACCATCTATACACATTGAGGCCCTTCTTTTAGGTTAAAATGATCTAT